CTGCCCTTTTTAACTATTTAATCTTGCAACAGGGTACACATTTGGCGGCATGTTATGCCGCCAAACGTACACTGTTACAAAATTTAAATTGTATTTCAATTTTAAATGACTTTACATAGCAAACTAAGACACATCCCATGTATTTTAGTTGGCTGTGTACCTAACAAATTACAGTGATATTCCTCGCGTGTACAAGGGCCCTTTCTGGAGAAGGCAGCAGGTACGGCGCATGGGGCTCTGGAAGCCCAGGCTTGCCTGGGAAAGCTCAGCCTTGGCGTGCTTCCAGTGACCCATGTGCTGTCCCCACCGCCTTCTCCAGCTGCCAGAACACCCAGCTGCCCTGCTGCCATCTTCCTAAGGCAGCCAGCCTGTTCCCAGGTGGTCCAAGGCAGCAGGGGCAGTGCACAGGGTGCTGGGAGCCCGCCATGCACAAGCTTCCCCAAGCATGCCCAGACTTCCAGTGTCCTATTCACCCTTGGATCTGGCAGATGCTGCCTGAGCTGGGGCTGCACTGTGCAGCTAGCGCCCTGCCCGGGCAGTCCCAGGGAGGCATCACTACCACGCAGAGAAACTCCAGGCTCCCTTGCAGCTCAGGGGCTGCGCGAGCCTTGCATAGGCAGGCTCTGCTGGGTGGGGGTGATCTTCTCGCTCTCTCTCCTGGAGCCTGCCTGCGTCTCCTGCAGCCAGGGAGTGAGGTGCTGGCAGGTTGCGTAGCCCTTGAGCTGCAGGGGACTCCTGGTGCTTCCCTTCAGTGGAGGTGCCCCCTGCCCAGGCAGCACCCAAGAGCCAGCTCCCTGCCTGTGCAGTCCCAGGGGGTGCTGCTGCTGCAGAAGGAAGCATTGGGACCTGCTGACAGCTTGCCCCCAGCTGCAGGAGAGGCAGGCAGGCCCCTGGGTGGGGGGAAGGATCAGGGCCCTCAGTGCTTTATTTCCCCCTTTGGCAGAGCCTGCCTGCCTGCTCCGCAGTGGGGGATCCCAGTGCTTCATTCTAGCTCTGATTTGCCTGCATATTTGTTTGAAATACCTCAGGATCTATAATAATAGCATGCTTATTCTGTCCATCTGGCTCACTCTGGTTGTTTCAGTAAAGATTGTGATTGGTTGTCTCGTCAGCCAATCGGAGTGCTCCAGACGGACAGAATAAGCCTATTATTATTATAAATGTAGGTTCCTTTCTAATTTTCCAAGGAAATGTGATCTAGAGCAGTGGTTCTCGGCCTTTTTGGCCTCAGCACCCCTTCATAACTTCTGTGAATTGTGGCACCCACTTTAAAAACTAATGTATATATTACAACGCTTGCTTCCTTGCAGCAGGGCACAGTGGAGGTAAGGGATTGACTAGGCAGAGACAAGCCTAAGCCTGCCATTATCTGCTTAGCTCCTTGTACCTCAAGACATCCTTAAAAGGATCTCATGGTATCAGAGTGCTATGACTCCCTGGCTGAGAAGCACAGGTCTACAGGAAAGTACTATACAGTTAGGGACACAGCTTGCTGGAAAACTGTACTCAGAGTAGTTAATGGCTCACTAGCAAACTAGAAAGATGCATCTTCAGGGCCTGTCCTGGATACAGTAGAAGGGAGTGTTTCCATTAGCAATCTGGCCCCTGGGATTTGGGAACACATCTTTCCTGTGCAGATAATACCAAGGTGAAAGGGCGGGGTGGTGGTATTAAGCACTCTGGAGGCTGGAATTATAATTCGAAATGAGGTTATCAGCTTGTAAGAAGGGTCTGAAGTAGGAGGCAGTTCTGTAAAAATAGATATCAAGTACAGAACTTAAGTAGGTGTCAACTGCACAAATTCTCCGTCAGGCCAGCCAGCATCTCTAAGGAAGGGTCTGGGGATTTGTAGTAAATCACAGATAATGTCACCATGCTTACAGAGTGCAAAGCCAGTGGAGAAAATCCAGGGAGAGCAAAACTGGATGTCTAGAAAACATGCCCTGGGATAGGGTTGGTAACCTACAGCACATGAAGAGACTGGGTTCAGCCCATGGCACCATGCTGCAGTCGGTGCCTCTAGGGTCCAACTGACTGCCACGTCTGAGGCTGCTGCTCCAAGTAGAAATTTGCTGTTACCTAAATGGGAGATTGAAGCTTCTGAATTTTTCCTTTCGTAGAACTGTTGCCATCTTGCACATTCAGAATTGCTCCTATGTTGGGGATTTTCTATACAAGGAGAGAGAAGGAAATGTGTAATGTGGGTCATCTTTGGTAACTAAATTGTCCGTATAAGGGCAAATGAAAATACTGTTTTGTCTTAAGTGGCTACTGACATAAGCATTTTCTTATAAACTTCAGAAACAACTGGAGATCAAGTTCTAAGACCTAGTAGAAACAATCTTGCACCACTCTGAAGTGAAGAGATTGGTCATGATTTGATCTAATGGGGGGGGAACATTTTTTTACATTTCACTGCTAGATTGGTTTGCAACCTGGAAGGGAGAGGTTAACAGGCACTGCAGTCAAATGGAAATGCCATTTTGTAACAATTGTTTAACTTGCTTGGATGCCACATGCCAGATGTGTATCTCCATGCATCAGGACTAGAACTGGCCTTTTTTTTCCTGTTGTCTCTACAGTGTTTGTCCAACATGAAGAAATGAAGCTGCTGAAACATGAGCATCTTTCCAAAAAGTGGGAGGCATGAGGAAGTGGTATTTGGGGGAGAATTCAATGCAGAAAGATGCCTTGCTGTACTTCGAGGGTTGAATGGTGTGTTCGTCTACTGAGTTTGCAAAGAAGTTGCTGCTGCCAAGTATGGTACTTCTGAGTATAGCAAGATGACAGAGGATAAAACTGTCTGTAATGACTAAGGATTGGTTCAGGGGTGGTGGACCTAGGAGACTGAAAGAGACAACTATGTTGCTATGGGTCTATTGTCTGATCTTGAGTTGTTACTAAGCAACCTGACCAAATGTAAAGGCGGCCCTCTACTTCTAGATTTTTAGTTTCAGGAGGAAGAGAGAAGACCTTAACAATTCATGTCTGCAGTTTGTTACAAAACATGCAAATAACCATGCTAGCAAATCTAAAACACTGGCAGAAACTGAGTTGCATGCTTGGCAACTGACTGGCTTTCAGTTATCAAAGCCTACCTCAGTCTTGAGGGAGTGTTCCTGTAAACAGAAATGTTATTCCATTAGTGATGTTACATCATTGCCTGGCAATCTGCACGTAGCAAAGAAATGGTTTTCTTGTCCATTGCATCCACTTTAGCTCAGTCCTCTGAGTGTGTGGAGTAGGATTGTTTTCTCATGGAAGGCTGCACTGCTTTAATGAATTAAGAATCATGAGAGCGAGGAATATTTGGTGTAATATTTAATTTGCCAGCACTTTTTGAAATCACTTGACAAGGAGAACTAAATCATGTGGCTTTTGCAAGTTGCCAAAGGCCATGTAGGATTTTGAACAAAGGTACTTTTCTTTCTCTGGGCATAGTTGTCATTTGATACTTTTCAAGATACGAAGACTCTTCCAAGTGACTGATTGAATGGCTGTCTTACTGCTGTCTTGGACCTGGATCCCAAAGCACAGGTTAATACTTTCCTAGGCCTGGTGGTGGCCAGAGCTGACACTACCTATCATCTTGTCCCCTTAAAAATCAGATCATTTTCTTCACTGCACTTGCAAGACTTTGAGGCCAAACACTTGAAGTGAGCAGCAGTCTGGCATGCTAGTGGGATAAAGATGCCATAAACAGCATCTGGAAGGAGATGCTGTCCCTTACTAATATGCTTCAGAGGGCAAGGATGAGTGGCTGAGTGCCAGGAGACCAAAAGAGGACATGTACATCTTTGTAAAAAACATCTCCAACTTCAGGTCTTCTACAAATAAGCAAATGCCTATGCCTTCAAGCTTTATTACAAAGTAACTCTTGTGTTACTAAACTGAACTAGGCCAGACCAGTCCCCCAGGGTGGTATTTCTCAACCAGTGGGTCACGAAACCAAAAGCGGGTCTCACGAATATATGAAAGGGTCACAAAAGAACATTAAAAATGGATCAAAATCTTAAAAAATAGATTTTCCTTTAAAGGAGAAAAACATGGGATACCATGGCTTTTGCCTTGCAGGCTGGCACAGTTCCAGCCTGCAAGGGGCTGCTTGGGGCCCCCCCTATCCCTCACCCACTCCCTGCCCAACACACTAGAGAGCTGTGGCCTGGGGGCAGGAGCGAGGGCCACTGAGTCAGGACTGGCCATTGATGTTTACAAATGGGTCCTGGTACACAAAAGGTTGAGAACTACTGCCCTACAGCACTAAAATTACAAAACAATGGATCTGATCTGGAGGGCCTGGAGTGATCTGTGTTCACCCTCATCCATGAAAACTGAGGAGTCTGACCGCTGTGAACACTGCTAGAAGAGCACAACCGTTGTCCAAGTTGTTCTTGAAGCTGCATCCCACGAACGGGAGGGAATATGTAGAGGATACTTAAACTGTGTCAAAATATAGAGATAGCAATTGACCACTGGGATTACGCAAACAGGAAGAAATGGAGGGAGAAGGTAAAGGGATCAAGGATGCAGCTCTGTGGGATTCTCAGCAAAGCTGGAGAAGGGATGAAAAGCTGCCTTATCCCCTGGTTACACAATCATGGTCAAAATTCATAAATGAGAATAGAACACAGCTCTTGATCCCAGAGCTATACTGGTTCTCTGAAGCACACAAGTTGGAAGTAACATTAGTTTTCCTTGCTAGTGTGAGTGTAACTGTGCTAATATGCATAAACAAATAATCACCAGAAGTGGCGAAGGTGAGTACATGCTATGCTTCTGGTTACCAAAAGCAGAATTGTACTCCCAGAGTAAAGTTTGTCTGTTCTAAACTTAGAGCTGGATTCACATGCTGTGACTGGGGCGATGTAGTGTATACTCCATTTAATTTAATGGACATGCTGTCACAAAACTGCAGTCATAGTGATAAATTGTGTCCCTGACTGGTTCACTTCCTCATGGCAGCTGCTAACTAACTGCTCCAAAATTAAACCACACATTTGCAGTTTCCATGTATAATTTTATTTTCTGGAAAGCCTGGACGGGTTGAACACAGGGAGGAGGATTTCAGAACTGAACTCGCATGTATGTCTTCCTCAGACTTGGTAGTTTCTTCCTAATTCCAGGAGTTGATGTCTTGAATTAAATGTTTGGTGGGGACTATTAGTAGAGTCTGTTGGTGGTTTCCATGCATTATGCCTTCAGTACAGAGTTTGAACTTGCCATTGCCGTGATGAGGATAGCAACGATGGACTAAGGATTGCTAAGATGGTCAGGAACAGGTCATGTTGATGTTCTGGGAGGAAAAGGAGCTGTACCAGCTGGCAGAAGAGTTCACTCTGGAAAGGAAAGGGCAAGAGCAGTGAGGAGAAAGGCTTCCTTTCTTCCCACTGGGTTCCTACTAGTTTAGAGAGAGCGCAAGAAGTAACACCCCTATATAGCACAATTCCAAAGGCGGCAGATGCAAGCTTTCACAGAGGTAACAAATCTTAGCTATAGAATTAGAATTTATGATTAAACATAAAATAGGTAAAAACAAAGTTTTTAGAAATGCATTGAGTAAAAGTACCCAAAAGCCTCTTAACTCTGACCACCAACTACAGAGGAATCTATCAAAAACCCAGAGAAAAATCCAGTCCTAAACAATGACCATATTCAACACAGCAGTAACTCAAAATGGAGAAATAACATAAATAGACCACATTATTTCCAGTGACAGTCTCAATACTGCAGCTTTGAAACTGGTCAGCTTTTCTCTCTCAAATCATTTGGCAAACTCTCTCCCCTTTCAGTACCAGGCACAACCACCAGAAAGAAAGAATATTTATTTTTCCTCCCGCATCTCTCAAGAGTAGCTACAATTACAGGCCAGGGAAGTAGTTAGCCATATTAGTCTGAAGTAAGGTAGGGTGGAATTCTACTCTGCTTTCTGTCTATAATTAGAACAATCTTTTTGGTCAATTACCTAAAATTATACAGGGCTGGATGGGAGCAAGTGTTATCACTGTTGCACAGTACCAGCTATCTTACCTGAGATTTAACAGTTCTCAAAGGACAGACCAAAAATGAAGACATTACACTTCCACCAGAAGAACTGCTGCAACTAGAAGTGTACAAACATTTTTCAATAATATTTTGGCCAGTAACTAAATATTATTTGGTCACTGCTCTCACAGGCTTCTGAAGGAAGCAAATGCAAGAGCCACAAGCCTGAACAAGCAGTTGGTGTCTGAAGCAGTGTATCTCACTCTTGGTCTAAGGGTGGAAGTAATAGGATTTTGCCCTGCAAGTGTCAAGGGCAAGAGGCTAAACTTCTGCTGGGGCGTGCCCAGAGTCAGAAAAAGGCACTGACACAGATAATTGCATGACAATGGCATGTAAAAGCAGTATGCATGGCTCACTTTTAGAATCCTTCTCTTGAAGGCTGCATCTACATTTTCAAGTGCATTTGCTGGTTTTGTGATTTTTTTTAAATTTAAATTTCTGTCACTTTCAGTATCCAGGTGCACTTTTTAGTGCATAGAAGTTATAACCATTCAAGTTTAAATATTTTAGCCTTTTATGTGTGAATTATGCTCAACAGTGATCTGCATTAGCTACATGGTAAGTACTTAAACATAGGCTGACATACAGAAGATGTTTTCTGTTTAGTCTCTTGCCATTAAAGACAGATCACAGAATTTGGACCTGCACTTGTAGTTATGTATGCATCTACTTCAGTGGGAGTCTAAGATGCTCAAGGAATTGTGTCCACAGTCTCCAGTACTAACAGGAACAGTCTTTATATTAGCAATCTAGACACTCCTATTTAATCCATCCAGCTGTTTAAATCTTTTAATAATTACATCTAATGCTATAGACACATGGAGAAGCCCTTTTCTTAAAAACTTGTGCTACAGGTTGCCTGGAAAAGGGATCAAAGACTGAATGAACTGAGTCTTACATTTCTGTGTAAGCAACAGAAGTTGTAACATCTGTATTTAATGGACCAGTACCTTTTTGCTCTCAACTAAACACTGATTTGATCATCCGGTATGTGATGTGACTTTCTGGCTGAGTGATACCAAAACAGCCTTCCAAGTGGCTTTTGCTTGGTGTTTCTTTCAAATGAATAGGCATTGCTTTTCCCACAGCACTCATCAGTTTTATCTCCAGTGGGCCCAATTTTAGGTATTCCTTAAAAAGAAAGAGAATATTATTTCTCATCAGCAACTGCATACTAAGAGGCAGAGTTGTTTTATAAGACAACTGGTTTTCCTTCAAGTCAACTTTGTCAAAATACTATTATGGAGCTCCATAATTTCCATATCAGTGTGTTTAGTTTACAAGTAAAGAGGTTTTTCCTCACACCACCAGCTTTGTTGACTCAGCCTGGGACTGTGGAGTCCAGCTGTGGGATTTAATGGTCACAGTTAAGCTGTTTCTGCAAAGCCAAACGACGGCTACAGTTACACCCATGCAACTCCACTGGTGCCAGTGGATTTGAGGAGCTGTAACAGTTTGAAACGTAACCGGAGTTAATGAAGCACAAGCAACTCGCTGGCTTGCCTTCTCCCCTGTGTGTGCTCTGCAAGACTGACAGGAGTGTAGCAAAAATAGTTACTTTTCTCTATGTTTCTTTGT